AAGTAAAGGGACAGATTACCAGTACATGGAATGAAAGGTCACTAAAGATCCTTTGGACATTAAAACACTGATTCTCAGCCAGAGCTGTTTTGTCCCCAAGGTACATTTGGCGGTGTCTACAGACAGTTTTGGTTGTCACAATGTGAGTGTCCAGGGGCTGGAGATCAGGGATGCTGCTAAACATTCTGCAGTGCACAGGGCAGCCTCCCACAGCAGTGTTCTTGCCCAATATCAATAGCACTGAGGTTGAAAGCTCCTAGTTAAAAATCATAACAGGAGAACATTGTAAACAAATTTAGGTCAATAAAATTTGATAAAATAAATGAACAAATTCCTTGAAAAGTAAAATTTATCAAAACTGACTAAGAAGAAATAGAAAATCTGAGTAGTTATATATTTATTTCAGAATTTGAATTCAAAACTGAAAACCATTTTACAGAGAAAACTCCAGGCCCAGATGACTTCACTGGTGAATTCTATCAACATTTAAAGAACACATAATGCCAATCTCTTATAAACTCTGAGAAAATAGAGGAGGAGAGAATGCTATCCAGTAAATGTTACAATGACTGCATAACCCTGATAGAAATATCTGACCAAGACATTGGAAGAAAAAAAATCACAGACCATTATCACATTTATGAATACACATGCAAAAATCCTATACAAAATACTAGGGAATTGAACAGAGCAATATATAAAAGGATAAAATACAATGGCCAACTGGAGTTATTCCCAGAATGCAAGGTTTGCCCAGCATTTAATAAATCAAACAATGTAATTTAACCACATTAATAAAGCAGAAAAAAAAGATCATCTCAATAAATTCAGAAAGAACAATTGGACACCTTATTTCCAAGTAATGACCAAAAAACCCCACAAAACTGGAAGTTAGAGCCAAGTTCATATGATGAAGGAATCTACAGCTACTATAAGACCATTAGTTACTATCATGATCAGTGGAGAATTAGTCGACCCTAGGATTGAGAAGAAGGTGAGAATGAATGTCTGCTCTCACTCTCACCACTTCTATTTGACTGTGTATCAGAGGTCCTAGACGGTACAAGAGGCAAAAATTAACTAAAATAATGAAAAATGTAAAGATTGATTACAAGAGTAAAACTGTATTCACATGGTCTACATAGAAAGTCTATTTTTTACACTATTAAGTTAATTGCCTTTAGATTAATCTAGTTTAACTATGCTTTAGAT